ATATCCTCTTTCAGAGCTGGCTTCCCGGTGACATCCTTGCCGCCTGGCGCGTGTCCGCCTCTGCCGTAGAAAAGCCTACCCTGGCTCTCCTGGCTGTGAAGGACGCCGAGTTAGACAGGCAAGCCGAAGCCATCTGTGCCGCCGAGCTACAACGCCTCACCAGTGCGTCGTTGTCTTCGCCGCTCCAGCTATCCGCACGACCAAGCCCTCGTACGGCCAGGGAGCCGCTGTCGCCCATCCTCGTGAGCAACTGGATGCGCCGGACAGGATGGGAGGCTCTCTTCGCGAATGTAGACCGGCGCCTCCTCATTGCGCTACACCAAACGCCGACGAAGGTGGATGGGCCATACTATCTTGGAACGTACGACGGGAAACCGATTGAAAGCCCAGCTAGCGACGAGGCCAGGCTGCGTGCTATCGTACACGCGCTGGACAGGCTGTTTGATCGGTGCGCGGATACAGTCACCCACACTGACACCGCAATACGACGATGGGTGCGCGGGAGATTTGTCGATCGGCCGTACAAGGCGCCCTTCCAGCTTGTTGCGCACGAGCGCTCAGAGCGCCAGTATCGACGGCTGTTGAAGCGATGCCTCTGCATGTGGCTACGGCTTTGGCGGATTCCGCGTTCGACCGCCAAGGCTTTGACGAAGCGGACCATCACATACGAGCAGGGTCAGGCTTTACGGAAGCTTTGGGACGACCCGGTATGGTCAGAGACCGCCGCCACCACCACCCAACACAGCACGGCGAAGAGCCTCAACAAGGCGGAGAAGGACCGAGAGGCCGCTACTTTTGACCAAGACAGCAATGTAAAAGACGTGGAAGACAGCCGCACTGGGGGCTCGGGTGGAGAGCTTGACGGCATGCTTAACAGCCTTGGCTCTGAGTACGAGGACAATTCGGACAGCGACATTAGCAGGGAGGAGGACTCTGATTGCCAAGATGACAGCGATTACGACAATGACGACGATGGGATCATCACACCGCCCTCCTCCTACTCCGACTCAGAACCAGGTCAAGCGAGTCAGACGGGCGGCACTGACGATGATAGCGATGATGATGAGAAAGCTACTTCTAGGCCAGGACAGGATCAGCAACTCGATGTTGTACTCCGATTCTGTCTCTTTATGGCAATGGAGGACTTTGACGATGGGCAAGCCAGCGCTACGTTGCTTGTCTACTTTAGTGCCGTATGCGGGCTTTCTGGCGAGAATGGGACGGAGTTCGCACGTCCGGCCACCTATACGACGCATCTCTCCGGGCTCATTTACTGCACGCGCCTTATACTCTTGGAAGGAACGCTGCCTCGCGTGGCCCACGAGTACATACAGCATCCGGCGCGGCCAAGGCGCGGCCAGCTCGAGGTACTTCGTCAAGTGCGACAGGATAAGATGTGCGACGGCACACTCTCGCCTCTTGGAGAGTTTGTCAGCCTCGTGGCATACGGCATAAGTTTGAGCCGTGCAGACGGACCAGCGTTTCTCTTCGAGTGGAGCGAAGACGGAAGGGAGATCTCATGGGACGGCAAGCACCACTTGACCATGGATGGTTTCCGCAGTCTCCTCGCAACAGCGGCCGAGCAGGTTGCACAGCAGTGCAAGTATATGCTCTTCGGCTGGCAACCACCTCGACCGCAATTCCGAGAGCTTCGCGACCGCTTATCTGACAAGACGGCTGGCTACTCCTTCGTGACAGATCCCGCCAATGGACTTTCTGATGCCTATCTCCAGCTTGTAAAGAGAGCCTGCATCGCGCCCATGGACGGTCTCCTGCGAAGGGACCGCGAGGGGGGCGGTGGAAGGCGCTGGGACATGCAAGCTGTTGTAAAGTATATCGAAAAGCACGATGAGCTTCTGAAGGATCTAATGATCGCCGTACATGGATATGGAGGCCAGGGCAGCCGTATATCTGAACTTCTTACGCTCAGGCATGTGAATACGTCTTCTCAGCTTCGTGGCGTGGTTCTATATGCAGGGTCCATTTGCTGCATTACTCGACATGTGAAGAACCGGTTAAGCACGAACAAAGAGTTCCAAGTGGCGAGATTTCTTCCAGATAAGCTGGGTAGGCTCATGTACCACTATCTTGTATATATTCGACCAACAGTCTCTATGCTACGGCGTGTCTGTCTCGAGAAAGACGAGGAAAAGGCCCTTCTTTTTACCCCTGCTGCCACGGATCGTATCTGGAAGACATCAACATTTTCAAAGCATCTTAAACAGCATAGTCAAAGAGTACCTACAGTGCCGGTAGGAATAGGCGCGCAGCTCTATCGACAGCTCTCTATAGCTATTGCTGAGAAGCATGTGGTTGGTGCCGCCGCCTTTGATCGGTACGATGAGGCCTCTGTTGGGTATAATGACAGCATTGCATTCGCGTGGCAGAGCGGGCATCGGCCATTGCAAAGGCACTCGACGTATGGCTTGGATGGTGCGTACCCTGATAAGCTACAGCCAGGGCTTCTGCAGACATATCGCAATGTTTCAAATCAGTGGCACACATTCTTGTTGGCCGAGAGCGCCAGCAGAGATCCTCTGTCCCCACAAATCACCATGCCATCGCCAGTTATTCCCCAGAAGCGCCCAGCAGAGAGTATGTTAGAGCTAAGTATCAACGCGAAACATAACAGACACCTGCGCCAGCAGCATATCGACCAACAGGGTATAGAGCAGAGCGAAAACCTGGATCAACCGAACACACCATCAAAAAGCATGACCTGTTTTTCTTCGCCCACCACAAACCAGAGCAACCCAACTACAATTAAGACAAGGATACCTACATCACCAGAGCGGCATGCCCTTGGCCCATTCCGCATTTTACCAGAATTAAGGGTGCTTGTATGCAATACATGCCGATTCGCTGTACTTGCAGATGAAGTCATCACACACCTTCGGAACTCCAACCATGCGAAGCAATATAGCCCAAAGCAACGTCGCCAGTTACAAATGCAGATCAAGGAAACAACTGATGTGATAAGGTCACTAGACGAACTGAAATGTTTCCAATATCCACCTCCAGAAACACCGGCTTTACCATACATACCCCCCCCTCAAAATGATGGGATACGGTGCGATCAATGTAGTTATGTTGTGCGCGGGATTGGAAGTATGCAACGTCATTGTAGGGAAGAACATAACTGGGTCAATGATTGGGAACGAGGGGGCAATATCCGTCAGAAATTGCTTAGGCAACGCTCCTTGCCATGGACTACAGGCGTATATTGTCAACGGCTGTTTGCTAGCCGTGCTGGTAGTCGCTGGTTTGAAGTATGTCGAGGTGACGTGCCTATCATAGCTTCATAGGAACGTTTAGTAGATTCCATCGAAGGTTGCCATATTAATCAATGACCTGCTATCATAGCTGCTTGGCAAACCATTTAAGCGATGTAAAACACAATATAGTTGATACACAAATTAACTACCACCGGAAAATAATTTAACAAGAAATCAAGAATCAGGAAGAGTTGAGAAAATATCCATTATTATACCAGTTGGTAGAGCCGCAATTCCATATATCGACGACCCGAAGACCGATGGTTTACAATGTAGGGTTTGTGGTCATGTTATCCGTCAAATTGGCCACATGCAATTGCATTGCAAAACAGAGCATGGTTGGGTTAATGATTGGAAAAAAGGCGGCAACATCAAGGCAAAATTACAGGAACCACGCCAATTACCATGGATTAGCGGAGTTTGGTGCCAGAAGTTATTTCCCAGCCGCGCAGCCAGCAGTTGGTTTGAAGTGAAGAGCGCAGCCGACATTGGATTTAGTATTGTCGAGAACAGACCAACAGCCAACAAAGAAGATGAGAACGAGGACAACAGCCAAGCCGCCGTATTATTAGCCGCATTAGACGAATGGGACAACATACAAGAGCAGCGATACACAGACGGTCAGGCGATGCGGCGCGTGGAAGCATTAGACCCAAAGAACGAGGCCAATTCATGGTTGCAGCGGGTTGGTTGGACCAGGCATTTGGAAGGGTTAGAAGTGGAAGAATTGCAACAATTCATTAAAACCCCAGCCGAGGATGAGACGTTATTGCAATATATGAGCGAGCAATGCCATAATTTGTTGGACGAGGCATACAAAACATGTCGGTCATACCGAATCGGGTTGCCGGCCATGTTCGAGATCAACCGACGCGAGGTGTCCGTACAGGCCAAGCGGCCGTTCGAACCACGGATGGAGGCGGATTCGTGGGCGCGGTACAAGAGCGTGATGTGCAAGATCATTTGGGTTATTTACCGGACCAAACAACGGCCACAAGAGGAAAGGCCGCCATACGCCATGACAAGCACCCAAACCCGATATTGGAAAGGGTTTATCAAGGCATGCCGCCAATACCAGGCCACACGGGAATACCAAGCCACGTTGGCAGCCAAAGAGGATCGCGAAGAGTGGGGTGTGAGCAGTGCCAGCGATAGCGACGGCAGCAGGACCAGCGAGGATATCAACAAACAGATCAAGGAAAGCCAGGATTCGTGCCGTGGCATGTGTTTACGGTTTATCATAGCCATGTTGGATCATTCATTGGGCGACCACCAATACGACAGCGTATTGATCGGCGCATTGGCCGTGATGGGCGTCCGGGACGATGGTGGATGGCAGAACGCGTTGGATTACACGCCCGTGTTGTCGGCCGTCATCAAGGTAGCACGAATTGTTGTGTTGTATCATGTATATACCGAGCGGCAGGCCGAGATTCGTACGATCATGGAAGAAAAGGGTATAAACGAGGCCGACGCCCGGCAATTCGGCACATCCATGTTCGCGCGCACACGACAATGCATCCATACATTCATGACACGGACCGGAAAAGAAGCCGACGAGTCCCCATCGCCGATGGATTGGATGTTGGAGACCCGCACGTATGGAATGAAGATCCGGTTCACAACCACGGCCGGAGGTGTAATCGATTGGATCGGCGACCAGGTTATATTCCGACGGATTCGATTTACGATGGCCGAGTTGAGCGGGTTTATGCACGCCGTATTGCAAGAGGCACGCAATATCATGGCCGAGTTAACAATGTGTGGCAGCGAGGGTATACATGCGTTGCCAGCCATTGTGTGGGATGATGTATATGATGACAACAGTAACGATGCCGTTGGATATACATTTATTAAAGACGACCAAAACACGCCATGGGTTGAGAAAGGGAAAGGGTATATCAAAAGGCAGTTGGTTCAGTGCAAACAGCGGCGGAAGGCATGGTTGCACAGGCCAGACGCCGACAACCAACAAACCAGCCAACCAACGAGGCATCCATACAGAAAAAAAACAGCCAGAGAATACGGCCGGTTATTAGATCGGTTCCGGGAGAAGTTATTGATATTAATGCACATGGTATCCGGCCAGCCGGCGCGCGCCACGGAGATATTGACGGTACGGACCCAGTGTAGTAAATAATATAAA